GTGACTTAAGTCAGTTGATAGTGGTGGGTCGGTGAGGGGAATCGAAAATGATTCCCAGTTTCAGAATTTGGATGATTTAGAAAAACGGAATGAATTTTATTTATTTTATAGTTTTTAATTGCAGGGCTCTTTCCTTTATGATTGTTTCTGTTTTAAGACCTTTCATTTAGCTCACTTATTCTCAATTATTCGTAGCATTATTAGAGGTTCTTTTAATGGAGTTTGGGTCGTTATTCGATTTCTATTAGGGGAACGATTGTCAAATGACCTTATGAATTGAGGTCAAGCATCATGGATTTGACTCCTTCTACCGAGGGACATATAATCTAGGCGATCTTCGCATTTATCGCCAAATGACTCTCTGAATAAGTGGTCTCATACTAGTCAAATGAGAAAGGATGCGTGCTGTTCGAAGATAAGGAGAAGGATCTTTTTATTAGTGCTTATTTGGTTCACTTCCTTACCTCGATTATTCAGTTGACATTTATTCTTTGCTGACCTACGTTATTCGAACAATTTCTTTATCGTCTTATATCTTTTATTTAATGGCTCGGATTTTTTTAAGCAATAAATATTTATTAAAGGAAAAACCAAGAATCTTCTCAGTTATGGAAAACAATATTTTTTGAATATTTTTTTATTTTTATTAAGCAACTGATTAATTTATTGAATTAGATGAGAGGATAGCCTAGTGGACAGGAGTTTTTATCGCTTTGAGAGCCGAGAGCTCGATTCTTGCCCAATAGTAATAAAATTATTATCAAAAAGTACGAGTGGTACTGGTGACCCACCTATCACCTAATGATTCTATGGTAAAAATTTTGTAATTCTACCACTAGCCAGTGAGATTATATATATAGTAATCACGTTGAATAAACATAACTCCCGGTTCACTCGTTAGGAGCGAAGGTTTCAAAAACCTGGGTGGTGCTAGCGATCCCACTACTTCTTCCGCTGAGTGATCCACTGGCAAAATTTGTTTGGTCTATTAAGTCAGGAGTGCGATCCTAGCGAAAAATAGTGCGCGTTCTTGGAAAAAAAATGCAAAAATAACAAAATTTTGCCTGAAAATTCGTCATTTGAATAACGCGTGGGTCGTGCTATTTTTATTAAATTATTCAATTTTTTAAGCAGAAAAGATTGACCTCATCTTCTCAAATCAAAATATATCAAAGTATGAGCTTCCTAACCCTTAGTCCAAGTGTGTCATGGATATATTTTTATGCATTTTTTCATCTCTTTTAAGAATCGGAGGTTTAAAAAACAGCTTGAATTTCATTTCTGGTACTGTTATTGTTTTACTCTTATTCAGAATGCTCGATGTAATAATTACCAGATAATTAGTTATTTTTAAATTTGCGGTTAGGCTTGCTCCACTGACCGTTAATGCGATTAGAAGCTTTTACTATGGAGCCACTGGTGATAGGAGTTGCAAGTGGTCCAGCGTGGATTTGTTTTCAATAAAAATTTATTCCTATCGAGGCGGACACCGAACCCTTGAACACGAATCATTGTCCTGCTATCCTGCTCCAAGATTAAACTTAGTACTAATATTTCTGGCTTTTTACATTCCTGAATCAAAAGTCCTTTATTTTTTTTGTTTCTATCAAAAAAAATTTATTTCAGATTTTCGATACATTAAATGCATTTTTTCTGAAGTTTTGTGTAATGTTCTGTGCTAAAATTTCAATCAAAAACGGAGTATTCCTGCATCATTCACCATTTCTTTGGCCATTATATCTGACTAATTGAGACAATTAATTATTCGGTAGAACTGTGGAAATTTCTAGGTTCACTAGGTGATCCAGTTGGTTACAAACACTTTATGGCCAATAAAATGAAATGAATTAATAGAAATTTGTTATTAAATTTCAATTTCATTACAATTACAATTTCATTACATTTACAATTTTGTTGCAATTTATCATTAAACATAAAGTGACTCTATGAAAGGAAGTTTTTTTTCTTAAAGTTTTTCGTTTGGAAAACCACAGAACTGTATAAAAATTAAGAAAAAGAGAATAAAATGAAAATTTAATAAAATAAAATGGAAATAAAAATTAAATTTACATAAAATTTTAATTTTTTCAAGAAAATTTAAAAACTAAATCCGTCTGCTTTTTCAAATTTTAATTTTAAAAGATCTATTATGTTCATGCTTAATATCCGAAATATTTCCCTGTTGTAAAATAATCAGTGCTTGTCTGAAATTTTTTTCATTGGAACCATTTTTTGACAGTCCTCTCATTCGGTATATTTTACTTGGCAAAGCTCGCAAGAATTCAAAATTTTTTGAAAGAACTTTCTTGAAGTTAAAATTAGACTTGGGCTTTCTTGAATTTCCAGTTTTCTAACGTTTTATTGAAGTAATTTAATGAATAAAATTTTTAAAAAATGTCCAGATGCCTGAAATCCAGATGTTTGGCTCGCACTTCCTTAAAATTTTTCGCATGATCTCCCATTCTTTTATAATATCTTTCGAGAATTGCCAAAAGCTATAAGGTTAATTGGTCACCTAAGGAAAAAAAGAAAAAGGTTTTTGTCAATAGATGACCAAAGGGCTCGCATTTTAACTACTGATCAATTTCTTCCTCTTTTTAAAATACTGTTTTTATATTCAACTTCATCATGTTTGCTGTATTGTATCTTTAAAATGATAAAATCATTAAGTTGAAATATAGTAAAATTAAGTATAATTTTTAAATATTACGCATAATTATCATTGTCTTTATGCTATTAGTAATGCAATATCCTGGTACTGGCGATCTGCCTTGGAACGAACCTGACCAGAAGTGGCATACTAACTTTTCACCGTTCAAATATTATCTTTAAATGAAAATCCGATAAAAGAAATATTATTTAAACATTTAATATTTATATTTTAATATTTTCATTTTATTATTTATATTTTATTATTTATATATTTCGTTATTCATTTGAAACATTTTTATCGTAAATTTGATAGTTTCATGCCAAAATCATCAAGATAATAAACAACTGTATTATTTATCTGCTGATGAGAAAAATTTAAGATATTTTTCTACCACTGGATTACCACGCTTTTATAACCTATAAAATTAAGTATCTTATAATAATAACGATAAAATTTATATTTTCAAAGGATTTAAAATTTATATTTTTAAAGGAAAATAATTTATTTAAAACAACCTCATAAGGGAAAAAGTGAAAAAGTGGTCTACTGTTATGGCACTTTGGAGGTCAAGCATCGTGGGTTCTGTTGGTTGACGCAAATCATTAAAAGTGAAATTTGAGCGGTGTTGGTCCATCCCTGTTTCTGTACCAAAGCGATTTTCCGGAGTCTAATCCAGCATTGGAGCAAGCCAAACCAGAAAGAATGAGTTGAATGAAGAAGGGTTGTATTCATTAATTTATGAGTGTTGTATTCATTTGCCCGTTATCATTTTTTTTCGCAAGTGGTTAGTCGGTTATCCTGCCCTAACTTAGTTGCATAAAATATGGGGTAATTATGTCGATCGAAGATTGGCAGTTTATTTGAACTGTGACAGATCTTCAAATTTATCTCATCATTTTTTAGAAAAAACTAAGATTCCCGATTATCTAAAAATTTCGGCAAAAATTTTTTAAAAAAATTGCTTTCTTTGCGTTTATAATTTCATTTGCTTATCAGGAATTCTTTCAAATTGGTTTCGGATTTAATGTATTAATTTCGCTAAATTAAAATAACCTTTCTCGGAAAAAATCTCTTCCGACCGATTTGTTTTCTATCGGTTCTCGTAAAAGAAACAACGCACTGCGGAATTTTTTCAGGTGAAACATTTGCTGTTTATAACTTTTTCTCATCTTCTTTCACTGTGCTATATTATATAACAACAATTGTTCTGGTCCATCTGGTTCAATCGCACAAAATATCACCCATCAACGATGAAAATTCTCTTTGAAAAAATCAGCGAGCAGTCGTTTCGCCAAAGCTGTGTAAAAGCCAATGCTAATTTGCTAATTTTCGAATTTTTTTAACAGTTCTTATGTGATTCTTTCTTATTTTAATATTGAGTAAGTAAAGCAGTTCGATAGGTTAGGTTAGGTTGAATGATCAGCACTCAGCACTGTGGTTAGATTCGCTCAGTTGGTTATCACTATTGTTGCAGGTGCTAGTTATGGTGCTTCCTCTGCTCCTTTCGGCAACACTAAGCCAACTTCCACCTTTCTCTTGCATGGTTATCCGACCCACTTGGCTATGTTAAATAAAAAATAGACTTTATGATGATGATGTAACTTTGGATTTGAATAATTTTCTTTCCTCAAACCTTTTTTCACCAGGATGTTAGCTTTATAGTTGGCAAACTTTTCTCTCACTCATTTATATGCCCGATTTCGGCATTTTTATTTCTGCCGGGGATACTATCGTAAAAAAACCTCTCCCGTGCTGGCGATCTGCCAGCGCTCCAGTTTTCAGCTGATTTTCTGGCAAAATTTAATTCAAGTGGCAGGAATTTGCAGTGCCACACACGTTTTGATGTGATTTTAGATGATAAATTTTGAAAAAGAAATAAACAACATTTAGTAATTAATAGAATACGAGTTTTTATAGAGTTTCAATTGATTGCTTAATGTTTTATAATTGTTTTATAATGTTTTATAATTTTATAATGCTTTTATGTTTTATAATTTTTCTTAATAGTCCATCCTATTGTTTTGTGATGAACGAAACTATGGAATTAATTTTCGCCTATTAATCCTTCTTCGAGCGATTTACGTTATCAACGTTATGAACCGCGCGAACAGGCTTAAATGTTTGTTCACTTATCGATATCATGGTCAGAGGCAGTAATTTTCCTTTTATCAGTAATTTTCCTTTTATTCATTTTACATTTTGCAGTTATCAGATTATCAGAAGTAAAATTTTATCTTCCTATGTGCTCATAAGTTCCGTCGTTTTTACACACATAACGATCGAAATCTATACTTTTCTGTGGAATTTTCCACTTTTTAAATGGCTATTTCATTTTTAGGAATAAAAAATGACGAGTTTGGAACGTTGTCGCCAGCTTTTGCACCTACGCAACCCATTACTGGCAAATACATTGACGGAGTTCTACGCAACATGCCTACTACTTGTAAGTTTAAGTAAAATGTAGAGATTTTATTATTTCTTCCGTGAAAGGAGATTAGAAATGGCTAAGAAAGTTAATCAGTAAGAGTACTATTGCAAAAATTCTCTCATGTGATTTCATCAATTTATATTGTTTATTTATTTCCTTTAGTATATTTTTCTGATTTCCAGTTTTTTAAAAAATATTCATTTTACGGAATATTCAAGTTATTGCGTAATATTTTGAATTTTTTAAATTCATTTTTCTTCCTTTTTTGGCAGTTGGAAATTAAATTTTTTTTAGTTGAAATTGTTTTAATAATTATATATTCTTCATTTAGCCGATAAGCTGGAGTGATAATATGGTAATAGGCCTGTAGACTTATCTCTGAAAAGTCAAAAGATCCATCATGGAAATAAATTAAATATGATACATGGAATTCCATTCCTTAATTTTAATTGCTTTTTCTTTTTATCACCGTGCTTGATTGTAGTTCATCGGAATCGGTATCGTTTGTCAATTCGAACTTAGCAATAAAAGCTTGAATACTTGGGTTCAGATAAACTTTGGATGGGGATTTGCGATTATGTTTTGTGTGTATACTGCTTCAAAAACCTCAGGCAATTTCCATTCCATTTTCGAATACTTCGAGATATTTACAATTGTTTTTATTTCTAACATTTTTATTATTGTTGTTATTGTTAAATGTGTTTTTTAATACGCTATTTTTCTTTTAGGAGGACATTTAAATCCAGCGATTTCATTTATGTTCTACACCTTGGGTAAAATACCTTTCTCGTATGTTATCGCGTATAGCGTTGCCCAGACTGTTGGTGCTTTCATTGGTACGGCTCTCGCATTTCTGGTGTATTACGGTATAAGTCCTTTTTAAATCAATCTATAACCGTATTTATTTTTTAGCTTGAATTTTGAGAATATTAAGCCGTACTGAAACTCCATTTTAACTTGAATAATTAATTAATTTAAAAAGCCAGTGCCACTCACAAATTATCTAATTTCAATAAATATCTGGAAATTATTAAATATGTCGCTAAAATAGTTTCGTTCATGAAGATCAAATATGGCATACGTTGGGTGCTGAAAGAATCGCCGTTGGGGTAAATGCAACTGCAACACTTTTCACCTCGATGCCAGCACCGCATGTATCAAATACGATCGCCTTTTATGATCAAGTAATTTGATATAATATTCACTGAATTTCTTTAAAATATTTATATTCAGTTATGTTCAATAAATCAGTTAGAGTAGTACGTATTGCGAGAAATTTTCAAGTTGGTTTAGTAAATTTTTTTTATTAAAATTTTTTTTTTTAATTCACTGCTTCAATTGGGGTCAAACGTAACAGCCGCATCAGTAAGGGCATATTTCCGGTCGCTGATAATGATGTGGTATGTATTTATTTCCAAATGTCTCTTTGGCGAAGAGATAGATTACTCTCTACAGATGGATTAAGTATTAGCCCTTTTGATAATGTTTTGAGGAGCAGTTTATATTGAATTAAGGCTTATTTTTTTGAGAACATTCCACAACCGTTGAGTAGACTTGCTCCACTGGCTCGGACTAGGCAAATATGCCAGGGGGTCCCTTGGCGATGAAAGCACAGGTGAGTCGCCAGCATCATCCGGAGTTCAAGGCTTATATATATTTACTATAAATTTCAACAAAAATTGATTGATTCTTTAAAACATAATGGTTAAAAAATTATATTCTGTAATATTGCATTGTGAGGTTTTGATTTTAAGTTTGTTGGAACTGGATTTCTCGCGTTGTTTGTGATAGTGGTCATTGATAAGCGCATAGATTTACATCCATCAATTCATGCTCTGTTGATTGGCTTGCTTATCGCAATGATTGGCATGGCATTTGGAATGAATGTCGGATATCCAATAAACCCTGCACGTGACCTTGCTCCACGCATTTTTGCAGCTATGATCGGTTATGGAACGGAAGTTTTTACGTAAGTCTTGAATTGAATTGAACACTTATCCCTCCTGTGAGCGGTATGGGTCATCCTCAGCCTCTGTTGCTTTACCGAAAATCTGGAGTTTGAAGGTTTTTTGCAGTATCTTTTTACAGCAGTGTGTTCTTCTGGACGAATATGTATATATGAAGTAATAAGTATGATTATTTATTTCTATCGAATTTTTTTTATTGAACTGCTCGTTATCTTTTCCTTAATTTACTAGGCATTCATAACCGGAATTTACAAAATAAGTCAATCTATTTATGTGCCCATATTTTTCAAGTTTTGGCCCTACTTTCGACGGGAGTAAATTTTATTGGGAAGTCCGAGTAGTATCAGAGGCCCTTCTATATTTGTGATTCTCTCTTTGACAAAATTTGTTCTTCGTACTAACAGCCAGTGAAATACCCTAACTAAACAAAAGTGAACCAAAAATATCGTCATTTTCTTGCATGTTGTAGTTTTTTATGATTTATTTGATGATTTATGATTTATACGTTATATGCTTGAATGTTTGAAAAATGGGCAAGATTGGTGTAGTATAATTCTCCTTAAGCTAAATTGTCATATTAAGCTGTTGTCAATTTCCTTCAATTTTCGGAAAAATTTAGAAAGAAAATATTTTTCAAGTCGGACATTTGCTCCAAATTTTTCTGGAATTCTTCTTTTTCGAGTTTTACCTTTTTTTCTGAAAATATGCATCTTATGATGGATGAAATCGATTCTTCTTTTTGTCTCTTTTTTAAAAAATACAGAGTTTTAGAGCAAAAATCCATGATTACAAGTTAAAAAATATTTTTTTCAGGTACCATAATTATTATTTCTGGATCCCGATTGTCGCACCATTTTTTGGTGCAACTTTCGCTGCATGGTCTTTCTATATATTTGTTGGCTTTCATATTCCTGACAATGAAGAAAGCAAATATACGCAAGACAAGAAAATTCAGTTAGAAGCTGTGCCACTTAAAAGTCAACTTGATTTATGAGAGGAAAAATTTGGGTGATCACTGTCAGTTGCTTGTCATCTGTTCAACAATAAATGGAAGATAAAAATCGCTAGAGAATTCGAAAAAACTCTTTAGAATTTTGTATGCCTTTATGCCTTTATATGTGAAATTCATTAATTTTGTTTTTTTTTTGAAAATTAATTTTGTCAAATTTCTCCCTTCTAATTCTCCCTTATCAAATTCACTTCGTCGAAAACGATAGTAAATTTGTATTTTTATGTTTCCGTGATTTTTTATTTGGTTCTAATTTTCAAGACTTTTAAAATTAAGTTCCTTAAATAGAAATTAAAAACTTTTATACGAAAAAAACTTTTTTCCGTCACTGATGTGTCAATTTTTCATCAATTTAATCATATAAAAAATCAATCACTTTGTTCCGTCCGTTCGTTATTTTTCACCAATTTAAAGAAAATTTTAAAAAAAGCAAATAAATGTTCAAATCGAAAGAGAAATTTTTAAAATTTAGAAAAATTTTTCGTGGTTCTTTTCGAAATTTATTAAAGAATTACGGTTGATTTCTGAAAAATTCTAAAATTTTTCGTTTTTTTTTTTATTTTCAGTTGTCGTTTTTATATTTATTTCTTTGAAAATTATTTAATAAATTTTTGTTTCAGTTTTTTGAATTGTCCTTTTCCTTATTTTCCTCACCGTCAGAGGATCGGAACTGCATCAAAGTAAAGTGATCGTTAGTGGCTGGCGCCCGCCATTTACGGTTGGGCTCGCCGCACATCGTTGTCGTTGTTGGTGTGACGCGAGGTTTTTGCTGGAGACGTGTCACTTGCCGCAGACGGATAGCAGCACTCTCCGCGATTTCTCGGCAGTTCTGTTCCTTGGGTCTTTGCATTTCTAAAATTAACATTAAATTTATATAAATTTATTCTCAAAGTTTCGATGTAAAAATCCTGAAAGTCGTTTTTTTGCTTTCTTCTCAGAAGTTTATGACGAATGGTTTTCCCAAAATCCCCTTTAAGCGCTTTAAAAGCGATCTTATCTCAATTAAAAAGTAAGTTTCGATGAAAGATCCAGGAAAGTGGTAAATAGCACCAAAGGTTCTGTTGTCCTTCGGATTCAAAAATCAACTGCGTGATTACAAAATTAGACTGCAGCTGACGATTAGTACGCGTAGCAGACGTCACGTAACGCCGAACTAAGGAAGCAATAAATTAGTGATAATCTAATTTGTATCAAAAATGAAAGATTCATCCGAAGGATTTATATTTATATTTTAGTATTTTGTTTGGTCATTCGCGTTTCAAGTGGAAAATTTCGCTCAAACTCGTTGTCTTCTTTCCAATAAAACTGATCACCATTTATGGGCATTGTTTGTGGCCCAACGCCTTTGGCTTCTTGGCCCAGACAAGCCTTTTCGAAGTCACTTAGCGGCAGAAGCGTGAGCGGATCGGCTGGATTTCTTAAACACTTTTGCGGGTTAGAACGCCAGCAGCGGCGATTCGGTACGAGCAGATAAGCCACTCTCTCGTTATTTTAATTGTTCACTCATCTTTTCGCTCCTCGCCTTAGCTGCTTTATTATTTCGTTATTGCGTTAAGCAGGTAAACGAAGAAGGAAGGAGTCCCCAACCACGATTTTTAGTCCGTCTTACTCTACGGGCAGATGAGAAATAAAGGGCTCACTTGGAGACGGAAATGCTTGTTTTTGGCGAGGGAATAATTTTTGCCCGAGGCTGAGTCGAGACTTCCGCGGCGATTACTTATGCAACGACAAGTGGCTCTCCTTATTTTGCACCTCCTACTTATTGTTATTTATCTTGAAATCATTATTTACGTGTTAAAAGACCAGTTAGCAGTAATCACAAAACCTAATTTACAACAGAAGTAAAGCGCTAAGCCAAACCATTTGCGGTCGTCTAGAAGTGCTTTAAATTCTAAAGTTTTATGATTATTGCGTATCGAACGAATTCGTTTTTCCCCTTCTCGAAATTTTAATTCATTAAATTTTCTTGGTTGCGAATCGATTTAAAATTCACTCGACGGATTTAATTTATTTAACGACGAATTAACTCGGAACTCGTTCCGAGTTAATTTGAAAATTGAGCCTTTGCTTTTGTTTTCTTCCCTTTGAGAAAACGGGAATAATTCGTGGAGAAATACTCGAAGGTTCGCTAAAACATGAAAGTGGAGTTAAAATTATGAAGGAAGATTGGTTTCAACTCACGTTTCAACGCCGCACGGCTCGTGCTGCACTTGTAAGTTAGGGGTGGTGGCAAAGAGGGTCGAGCACCACGCAGCTGGATCTCTCGTTAAAAAGTGCGGATGTGCGGACGAGCCAGCCAAAAGTTTTTGCCCCATGAAGAGCCAGCTAGCCTAACCGGAATTAGCGTTACTTCACTTACTTAATAAGTTTGTAACGGGAGTGTTGGGAGAAGTGGTGTTGCTTTCGAGGAATTTCGAATTTCGGAAGATTGTTATTAGATCTGTTGTCTGATTATGCTAGTAGTTCTATAGACCTGACTGACTTCAATTGGCATAAGTTCCATTATCGCTTGGGAGTTAAAATAGATGTCGTGCCAGCATGTGTGCTCAGGCTTGTGTGCTCCATTTTGCTTGTACGCGGTTATATTTGCAGCAAATATTGACTTATTCGTTTTTTTTTCAGCGAATGTTGCCACCATTGTATCGCATTTTTATCGGAGGAGCAAGGAGAATCGTTAACACTCATCGTCACCTTCACATTACACAAGGTTTTCTATAATTCTAGCCAATTGGTATTTTCGGGGAGAAGCTCAATGCATAATTAACCTTACTATGGTAACAGTTACAAGTGCAAGTATTATTATTTACTATTATTTAGAGTTAAAAAATTATTAATATTTTATCATTCTAGGTTCTTTTTTGCCACTCATTCAATTTAAATTATCAGATATTGGTGAAGGAATCGCAGAAGTCCAGGTTAATTAATATTATAGCACAACATTCTTTTCGTATTACTTATTCTCTTTTATTCTTTAGCTTCAAATTCTCAATATTCCATTAGATAAAGCAAAAAGTTCTTTGGTTTGAAAAATTTGTTTGTTCAAAAAAATTGTTGTAAAATATTTATATTGTTTATATATATTTATATTTTTATATATATTTATATATTATATATATTTATTTATATATTTTAATATATAATATTTATATATAATATATTAAATATAATATTTATATTTATTATTTATAATATAATATTTATATTTATATATTATTTATATTTTACAACAATTTTTTATATTATTATTTATTTAGCAATAAAATATTTATTGCTTGAAAAATAAACGAAAGGCGAAACGTTCATTTTTATTATTTTGTTGTCAATTTTACGAGCTGTTCGTTTTTTTGCGTGTTGTAAAAATTTTGATGATAAATTGACATTGGATTTTTTATAAATTTTTTTCAATTTTTAAGGTGAAAGAATGGTATGTTAAGATCGGTGATAAAATTTCACAATTTGATAATATCTGTGAAGTGCAAAGCGATAAAGCATCTGTGATGATCACAAGCCGATATGATGGTGTTATTAAAAAACTGTTAATTTTCTATTTTTCGCTTTGAATTTTTTTTAAGACTATTGTTCATATATTTTTCTTAGTGAATGGTTAATTTATTACTTATTCACATCAAGAAGTTTAATTAAATGTTAGCTGATGGCAATTTTTCCACTTTTACAACATTTATCAATTTTGGTTTGGCTATCTTCACTGGCTAATGTGAAAGCCAGAGAGTTTGGGGAAAGAAATACGTTGGATGGATTCTCAAGCATCGCTTGAATTTGCCTTTCAATGGCAAGATTTACTCTTGTGCAAGAGAACCATCATGCCTGAATTGATGGTCTAAGCAATATGAATTACGTGATTATATTGCTCAAGAATATTTTTTGCATTTCAGTTATTGTGATGTTGATGAGATTGTACGAGTTGGAAATCCTCTTTTCGATATTGAAACTGAAGGCGTTAATCAAGAGAAGGAATATAGAAGGAATAAAATAGGTATAATAAAGATGGTAATATTATTACGATTTTAAATCAAATAATAAATTTCAGTGCAGCTATTATTGGTTAGAAAATTTGAAAAAAAATCAAGCAGAGCAATAACCATGTGCTTGTATTAAAAATGGATAATGGATAATAAAAGGTTAACAAAAAACAGCTCTGCAACAATACGAATGGAAAAAACAAGAAGAGTACAAACGAAAAGATAAATATATTGTATTGGGCTATAATGAATTGGAGATAAACTTGTGCCAAATAATATTTTGGTTGACTTTGAGCTGTTATGTATTAGTGGTGCTTATATTTATTTATTAGCATGTTTAATAAAATTTTAGCTGGAAAAACCCTTATAGTTAACATCTTTAAAAAAATGCACTTAAAGAAATTGATTAGAAAACTCATTTATGCATAAAATTTGAAATTGTGAAATTATATCAATATTTTTTAAAGAATATTATCGCTATTATTTTTAAAATTTTATTTCAGAAGAAACAAAAGAAGCAAATCAAGAAGTCAAAAAAGGAAAGATCTCGAATCATTCGCTTCATTTCAACCCAGAAAAGCCTCTGGCAACGCCGGCAGTGAGGAGAGTAGCCATAGAACATGATGTATAAACATAAATATATATACTTACAGTTATTATATATATAATTTTGAAAATTTTTTCTTAACTGATATTCATTTGAATACTGAAATTTAATGATGACCCATATTTCAGATAGATTTAAAAGAAGTGAAAGGGACAGGAAAAGATGGACGTATTTTAAAAGATGATATTATTAGCTTTCTTGAGAGAACATCTGGTAAAATTTGACTTAATTATCTGTCATTCTAAATTCTTTTTTTTTCTTGTAGTTCCACGCATTATTTCTTTTATATATAATAGTTTAGCTATGACTATTAATGTAAAACTTCTTTTGGAGAGTAGAAATTCCGGTGGGTCTTATCCGTATATTCGTATTTATTGGCAAGTTTATTTCTGTCAAATGCATATTGTCTCACTCCAGCCAAAACAATATGCCATTCAGACATACTTATTACCTAGAAATATAAGAAAATATAAGAAATATAAGAAAACAAACCGTGAATCATTAATTTTTATTACCAGTTGAAGAAATCCAATCAGCTGAAATGTCAAAGGCTGTTGCTGAACCAAAAATTTCGACCGCTTTGAAGGTGCTATTTCTCATAATTTTTTTCATGATAAATGTTCATAATTTTCATAATTTCTTTTCTCAAAATAAATGTTTAGCTAAACTTTTAATGATTTTTGTGAAAAACTATTTAATTTTCATTTTCATAAAACTATAAAATTTTCATTTTTGACGAATTTTAATACATTCTCTAAATTTTTAAAGACTTTTTTACAATTTAAATTAATTTTAACAGTAATGTGAAATTTTAAATTATTTTTAATTTAGTTGGCACCATTAACAAATGATAAAGTGATACCTATTCGTGGTTACAGTCGTGCCATGATCAAAACAATGACTGAAGCATTGAAAATCCCTCATTTCGGTTATTTTGATGAGGTAATATTTCTCAATTTATATCAATTTTTTATGGACAGAATTTGGGTTATTTTCGGATTTCTACCTTGGAAATATTGATGATATATGTTTATATATGTGTATTATGTTGAGTGGAATAATGAATGATCCCTTGTCCCTTGTCCTATGTCCCTTTCTCATCCTTCCCTCTCCCTCCTCCCTATGGATCATTTTAAATCTCGAATCTTCTATCAGAGGTCTGGCAGCTTTAGGTTTCTGCGAAGTTATTAGTTGATCTTCTGGACAGAGATCTTCTGATGAATCTGCTGAAGCCGCTTTTCTTGGTTAGGGATCTAATGCTCCAGTTATCACTGGAATTATTTTGATCTTTTTTTGAATTTCCTTCTCATATTTTTTTTAGTTCCCCTTTCAGCCTTTGGTATTTCTCTATAGCCTCTCATATTCCTTCTTCCCAGTGTCCTGTTCCTATCATTTGATATTGCTATCTATCATCAGTGCTAATTTCTTGTACGCTTGGGCTTAAGAGCTGTCATACTACAAGACATATGAGCCAGTACATCAATATACAATTCAAAAAGATATTGGAAGCTACATGAAAGACTCCAAACATCAGCTGCTCATAGATAAAACATTTAAAGTCTTGACAGACTAATCTGTGCTCAACTTGGATTGGACTGATTATTGGAAAACCTATGATTCAATGCACCACTCATGGATCTATTAATATTTGGTTTCATAAAGTTAACAGGATTTTCATCGAGAATCGATCTGCGGAAAACAGCTCTTGAAATCAATTCAAAACTGCTTTCACAAGTGGCTATTAAGTGCGATATATGATTAAGAGTGAAACTACCATCAATTTTTTTCTACGTAGATGGTGTCAAGATGCATACAAAAGCGAATGAAGCACTGACTTCCTCATTCATCCAATTTGAATTAACAATGAGAATATTCATTCGACTGAAGAAATGTGGCCGGTTTATAATAAAGTGAGGAAAGCAGCTAAGACTGATGAATGGGTTTATCGCCAAGGTACATAACAGACATACAGACTAGCTACAAGTACCACGATACAAGTACCAGAAGGTAAGGAAGATAGCAACACCTTATTACTATTAAAGTCAATTACGCAGCTGACACAGGGGAGGATCTGAAAAAGGAACTAGAGAAGATATGGAAAACAAAAAATAAAGTTATCCCAGTGGTAATAAGAGAGATTGTGACCCGAGGGGTTGACCCATAAACTAGAAAAATGGCTCCAGCAGATTTGAGGAATAATATCAGAGATCTCTATCCAGAACAACTGCTAGGGACAACTAAAATGCTGCAGAAAACCTTCAAGCCCCATGTCTCTAATATCCCAGGTTTGGTCCCTATTCATAGGAGTGCGGAAGGGATTTTTAAAAATATATAACAAGAAGTATAGCCTATGTTTTGGTCATTTAAACGTTTTCAGATAAATATGGATCGTTTAATAGAATTTCGTAATAAGATAAAAGAAACAGGTACAAAACGAGGATTAAAAATAAGTTATATGCCGATGTTCATAAAAGCTACTTCATTAGCCCTTTCTGAGTTCCCAATATTGAATTCTGTTCTCGATGATAAACACGAAAATATTATTTACAAGGTATATTAACATTACAGTAAATTTTCCAGAAATTTTCCGTAATAATAGAATCCCATTGATCATTTTTTTAAATTTTAAATTATATAAACGATATTTAAATAATACTTAATATTTAATATTTGTATATATTTAATATATTTAATATTTAATGTTAATATGTATATAATATTTAATACTTAATACTTAATATTAATATTTAAAATGTTTAAATTTAAGTCTTAAAAATTACTCATCAATAGATTAGAAGCTGGTCGTCTAAGTGAAAAATAAGATGTTGAAAAAAATAGAAAAAATAAAAATAGTCAATTGAAAATTGAAGTTAGATTACAATTTGGAATGAACAATTATGGAAAATAATAAATAAATAATAATATTACGAATAAAAAACAATGATATTATTAATAATAATAAATAATTTTTTACATAGTAGTTAGTTATTTTTTAAAAAAATGACTGCCATATTGATTCTTAATTTTCGCCTTTCGTATATTTATTATCTTCTTACTCTTGCTACCCTTTATATCTTTTTTATTAATAATTGATAATTGATTAACACCAAAAATTCCTCATTCATTTATAAATTTATTATAAATTTATTTATTTATTTTATAGGTTAAAAAATATCAAAGAGCATAAAAAATGGGGTGATAAAAAGGCATAATTCATAGAATAATGAATTATAATGAAGTTTATAAGTTAATGAAAGGATATATTCCATAAAATAATTAACTTTTAGTAATGTAAATACAAAAAAACTGGATTCAGTAGGTAAAATTGATAGGAAAATATTCTAAAAATAGTTGAAATTTCAGTTGAATTGCCAGTTGAAAATGCATCATTGCGAATAACATTTTCTTCAAATACTACTTTCTTCCTTCAATTTACTGGTTTTATCTAAAAAAAAAAGCTCATTAATTTTATTAAAAAGCCATCGTAATGATAGCGAAAGTGTTAAGGCATCGCACAATATTTGTATAGCGATCGACACAACTGATGGACTAGTGGTACCAAATATAAAAAATTGCGAACAACGCAATTTATGGGAAATTGCCAGCGAATTAAATCGTTTACAGGAGAACGGAAAACGAAAACAAATAGCCAAAGAAGATTTGATTAATGGAACATTTACATTATCAAATGTTGGGACGGTAAGCATCGATTTTTTCAAATCGTAGAGCTTACTTTATTTTTAAAAAAGTCATTGTGATTTTCTTCAGCACTTGAATATTAAGTTATATAAAATTAAAATTTATTATTAAAATTTTACAATTATCATTGAAAAAAATAAATTATAAATGAAGAAGGCTTTCAAAACGATATCTCTAAAATCGACCTTATTGGATTTTCATTAAGTTAATCAATGGCATGTTGGACAATCAGCCAAACTATTCTTTCAGTTGGGTGGAACATATGCAAGCCCTGTAATTTTTCCTCCACAAGTTGCTGTTGGTGCTATTGGAAGAGTCAGCAAAATTCCTCGTTTTGACGAAAATGGAACAGTTGGTTTCATTCAATTTTGAAGTTATTTTTTAGTTTGAAGAATCAGCAAGCTTTGGTGAACTCCTTAATCTTAAGTTAAATCTAAATCTAAATCTAAATTAAAATTAAAATTTAAATTTTTTGAATCTAGTTCATTTTTTTGTTTTTTCATTTGAAGTGAATATTCATTTTATTTTCGCTGTTGAATTAATTTCTACGAATACTTGTTTATACTTGTTAAATTTTGTTTATTTAGGTATGTGCTGTGCATATTGCCAAAATTTCATGGTCTGCAGATCATCGGATAATAGATGGTGCTACAATGGCTCGCTTCAGCAACTTGGTGAAGAACTATCTCGAAAATCCATATTTAATGGTTGCTGAATTAAGATAAATTTATTTCTTATTTCTTAGTCCACTGCTACTTGTCGTCTGCTTTTGAAATTATTTTTATGGTACTCATGTGAAATGTTTAATCGAATTCCTCATCTTATGAAAAAAATTTGAGGCTGTCACCAAGTTTTATGTCTACAACGCTGAACGTTTTTGTTCTTTATACAGCTATAAATTATTGTTGCTTACTTTGGTATATTTTATTTTCATATTTTAAATATTATATTTATGCTATATTTGACTGAAGAGATTTTCCATTTGATTTATTGATTTTGATTTATGTAAAATATTGTAAATTATAAGCGAATTTCCAGATAAGCATCTCCTTTACTTCTACCTGGTTTTTTAAAAAGCTTTTTATGCATTTAATATCTTTTTATGCATTTCTAGTTTTAATAAAATTTAATATTATCTGCCGTTATAAAAGGTGAAATAAAAGCTTAAATTTTTTTGGAAAATGAATTACAAGTTTGGAAAACAAGGCAAATTTGCGAAAATAGACCATCTGCCTCCTCATTCCCTTATGAATTCACGTAACTTGACGATAAAAATTGAGGGTTTCTTTCAGATGAATAATGAGCAATGAACTTCCAAAGAAAAATAAATTCCAAGAATAAATGAGTTTCATATCATTGAAATTGAAATTAATCTATTTTTCCACATTAATAGTGTTGATGCTTATCAAAAAAAATTATTGACTCGCTTCTAATTTTTGCTAAGAACAAATGTAAGTTTGATGCCGATTTCTAGTTCATTAAAGTTAAGCCTGGGAAATGAGATTAAATCGAAAATCGAAAACCTTATTAGGTTATGAATCTTCGGTATATCCTTTAACATTTTTTCCTCCCACTTCTTTCGAAACTTGTTACATTGCTATAACTTAACGTTTGTTAACCGACACAAGTTATCAATGTCCAAATATATAATAATATTTTTCATTAAACTAGAAAAACCACCGTATGATCGGAAAGAATTGTTATTTTCAAACTTTGGCATATTTCACCTATTTACCATTGCTTGTGTGACTTGTTTCACTGGCGACCAGAATCGAGGGTTCCAATCCAATAACATTCCTGAAAATAACCGAAACCACTCTTTTTATAATGCCAGAATGTCTATACGTCCATGCGCTCAAAATTTTTTCCAACCTATCAAGTCAATTCCCTGATCAATTCTTCTCGCTTTTCATCAAAGCGTTTGGCAAAGTAGTTCATCAATTCATATGGCCGACATATGAAGAGCATGACATAACCAATGCAGGCCATGATTTGCAGTGATAATGTGTAGATACTCAAGCAAAAATAAAATCAGTCATATGAGTCTATATCCGACGAGTACTTTAGTCAGGAATGGTTAAAGATAAATAATTTCTTGATATTTTTCCCTCGTTGTCCATAATTTCGCATATTTTGTATAATAGGATTGTATATTACAGCTAGACAGATGCGATCTTTCGTTTTCAGGCTGATTTAATGGCGATTTCAAAGAGCCTTCGCAAGACAGAAGGCCTAGCTTCTAATTGTATCTGTGACCCAAATTATTACGTAAAAGACCGTAGGAGAGAGGACACGGCTTTGACGTACACTGGTTTGTATTTCTTAAGGTTTGTATCCATTTCCACACGTACGTGCACGCACATGCGCTGACTGACAACGCAAGTGTTATAGTAAATTCATAATTACCATTTCCATCGCATTACATCGCATGCTAGAGGGTTATCCTATCCATCGTATCAAAAGCAACGGCAAAGTCGAGCCTGCAACGTTGTCGATATCTGAAACGATGTCCCAGTACTGCTCTCACCCGAAAATTTGGTGCCTGGCATAAATATTTGGGCGCGTTCACGCATTGCTACGTTTCTACCCTGTAAAGTATTCACAAATGTTGGTAAGTTGATTACTCGATAGCTACCGCAGTATATCCTACCATCTTTCTTAAAAATTGGGAAAAGTTGTTTTGTCCCAGTCACCTGGTATTCCTTCTCACTTATACCCTTTCCCTCTTTCCACTCTTTCCAGGTACAAAAAACGCTCGGCAATATTTCAGAAGTTTTGAAAGTTCTCGTAAACCATCTCTAGTGGTTTTATTGATTTTAATCATAAACTCATGAATTACTATTGCTAGTCCTCGCAATCGCACGACTCGAAAGCGTTCCAAATACGTTGGAAAGTCCATCGTGGTTAGGCTTAAATTCAAAAAAATCCTCTACAAGCTCCAGTTGCTTCTTGAAATAGGCGGAATAATTTTCGACGATCGCCTAATCGGGCTACTATCTCCTCCTCTTTAGCCGCCACCGATACGTCAGAATTCCAAATTCCAAACGAGCCAACTGCTTTTAAATTTTTTAACCTGAGATAATCAAACGATTTTTAGGTTTTCTCGTCAATGTGTTGCCAGTTTCAATCTTGGCTCTAACCATAATAATCCGACCGTGGGCATCGAATTTCATTTTTTTGATTTGTTTTATTAATAAATTTAGAAATTTTGAAAAAAATTGGAATGAAATTTGAAAAAATAATAATTAGAAAATAAAAATAATAATAAAAAAATGAAATTCTCCGAAAAAAACAAATTTTAAATTTTACGGAAAGAAACAATGTCGTAATTGTGATAATTAAGAAATTATTATGGACTTTCTCGCTTTCTTCTTTATTTGAGCCATAGAAAAATAAATTCAATTAACATTTAATATTTATTGACAGATGAAGGGTGAACGGTTATAATCAGTGGCGTATTCTGCTCAACGTTTCCACTTACGTTTTACGTCTTTTTCAAGAGCGTTTAATCAAAATTAGCTTAGCAAATGTCTTGGAAAATGAAATCACCAAAATAAATTACGTATAACAATGCATGGAATAATAAAATATACAAAAAAATACTGAAATATGCGAAAATTGGCTGAAATGGCCAAACTTTCTGACATTTGAACCAAAATTTGGAAGGAAATGATATATTAGCAAATTTTTTGTCTCGATTTATTGGTTAAACTACTTTCGTTGAGGTATATTTAGGCTTTGTTATGACGATTATTCAATAAATTGGGCATCTCCTACTTTTCTTTCTTCCAGGCTTGAGAGTTTTTATAAAAATATTTCTAGAATTTTCCAAGCATCTCAAAGGATGATGCGGGCGACAGAGCGTAACATATGGTTCTGTGTTCCACCTAGGCCATATTTTGGTATGATGAATTGAATGGATTCTTAAAGAACCTCGAGTATTCTCGAATTCTCATGCCATGCTTACGCAAACGCATCCCCGTATTTGATAATTAGTGATCTCATGGACATATAACAAGAGTTGTATCCCCACGTTCTAAGCCTTGGACCTAATTAAAATGAATCCAGGCTGACATTTTGAAGTTCTAATACATTGATCTGAACTTACAGTCCTGATTGCTCGACTAATTTTTACCGTAAATTCTTCGCTGATATGGTATTATAAAACATCCGTTTGTTTGTTACTATCTGTATAGTGGCACTCAGTTGTAGTATCTGTTTTGGTGTTTTGGTGCAAGATTAAGCTTAGCTTTAAATTTACGCTTTTCTCCTGCTTGTATAGATAGCCGTTTCGTCGTAATATTCCAGTTACTGAATAAGATATTGAATGACGTCTTCCAGATCTTTGCATCCATGAAAAGAATCTGGGATAAAGAAAAAGGGAACTGCAACACGGTCCTTAAGCTAACTTGGAAACCGATTTCTAGCTCAAAAAATATCTGTGTCATAGTCCTGCGATGACGCTATTTTCACGGAGAAGATCGCTTAAGGAATCGCTTCTAAGCCCCGAATCTGTCAGACAGCCAGAAGAATTGTGAAATGAACTCGAAATTGTTAGAGTTGCGCCTGTGCTTTCTTCCAGAGTTTCAGAAAGAAGAGAAAGGGCAAAAGTCTCTTTCCTGCTGATCAACTGGATTTCTTTCGAACTAATTCGATAGAAGGGGCGAAAAGCAATTATAACATAATGTCCTTTCCCTCATCATGTATCATCAAGCATTTGTCCACTGTATTTAAAATTCTTCCAATCGTGACGAACCGGGTATTGTTTGAGCCTTTTAATACCATTTGCCGCAATTTTCGGTATTCTTCTTCTTTTTCTTCTAACAGCTTTCACCATTACTGGTTAGGTTGGCTACAACGGCTACAAGGGTGAAACGCTTCCAAGTGGCGGAGTCTGATGCCATCGTCGACAGTAATAGAAATCATTCCTTTTTCCATCGTCTAAGTCCATATATTGCTCGTCCACCTATACGAAATCTTCAAAATCTTTTCTGACCGTATCAGCCCAGGTCTTGATTAGTCCACCTCACTTTTGATGCCATCCATCACGCAGTTTAGCAAGTAACGAAATATACGACAACTCTTGTGGTGGACAACGAAGAAGGTGCCCTAACTACCGATGCTCTGTGATAAATATTATTAATACAGGTGGTGTTTGAAGAAGATGGATGCGATCATGTAATACTTTATCCGCTCGACGGATCCGTAAAAATACCTTAGACAAGAGTGGTCAAAAGCTTCTTAATATCCTCCACTCTCACTGGTCATGTCTCAGAACCATATAGCAAGATTGAACGAATCACGGCTATATAAATGCGGATTTTCGTTTTAATGGCAATTTACGACTCCATAAAGATTTAATCAACAGGAAGAACGCATTTCTAGCTACCGTGATCAGGACTATAATATCGTCTTTTGCCTGACCATTTGGTATTAGAGTGGACCCAAGGTATTTAAAATCGACCACTTCCTCGGCCGGCAATAAATTTACAAAAAGAGGCATTTTATCGGCTTCTTGCACATAAGACGAAAAGAATTTCGTTTTATTTACATTGATCATGAGTTCGATTCTCGCTACGCTGATACGTTATTTAGCATTATTTTTATTTCATCATAACAGTCAGCAAAAAAGGCTACATCATCAGCGTATTCAAGATCTGTGATACGGTGCTCTGGACTGATTTGGACACCCCTTGAGTGTCGACAAGCGGTGCCTATTATCCAA